AATGTGCCTCCCTTAGCTAGCCATGTCGGAATATCCTACGTTCTCTCCCTCTCACCTCTGCTTGGAGAGTACATCTACTGATCTATGGAGGAGGCTGAAAACCTTCTATATACATTTTAAATGTTTAAAATCAATAATCAATGATTACAGAAGCCACCCCTTTCTTGGATGGTACAGAAGACAGGGGATAAAATTGTCTCAGGTGTGTCCAGTCCTGTGGGATCTCCACACACTACAAACATTGTATTCAGGTCTTCCCTCACCCCTGCCCCACAGAAGGGACCTGTGCACTGCTCCCTCAAAGGTGTCTTTGTTTGGCTGACTCAAAGTCACCTTGTAGTTTGGCAAAGCCTTTAAAAGGCAGGCTGATGAAAGTTAGTGCATGGATGGCAAGGCACACATTTACTCAGCAGGGCCACGAGACTGATCAACACATACAGAGGAGAGGAAAACAACATACAGTTGCTAATTGAATGTTGCTTGGCTCAACAAACTGAACAGAAGGCCATCTTGCTAAAGTGAGCCAGAATAAACCTTTGTGATTACGATGAGAGGGGGCCGTTCACTTTCCAGGAATGGGTAGACTGAACCGTAAAAAGGTCATTACCAGATATACGACTGACAGTGAATAGACATGAAGTGCCTGGAATGCATGCCCTAAACTAGCTGAAATAATTACAGCCTACATTGCTACAACTCTGACTGTGATTGTCGACAAATTACTCAGTTTATGAAAGTCTTAGCATTGTTGCATCTACGGAAAAGTGAAACAGACTGCAGACAAAATGACTCCTGTCCATCACAAAGCCATCAGCAGGGGAGGTTTCATTGTGAACAGTCAGTGAAGACCCAGCATGAGCACCTCCCTATCATCATTCTACCTCCCCTAGAGAGGAAAAATACCATGCTTTCTACAAATAACTATGCATTTTTAGTCCAACATCTTTCTCCCCTTAATTTTGGTACGCTTCATCTAACATTTCTCCTCCATCTACGATCTTCTTATAAGTCTTCATGTCCACACAAAAGTGCACAACTATTATTCAAGTTGGGCAAGCAGAGTAAAAGCTTGACCTACTTTAATGGGCAGCAAACATACCACCAACTGAATAACAACAGTGTTTCTGATGTAGTAAAGTTTGGGAGGCATCCCTCCTGCCTAGAGCCCTCCATGACTAAATCCATAAGTATTCCCTACTGCTGCGGCTGAATGTTTTCTACTTTACTGCTCAGGGAAGAATGTGGGATGCTGAATGTTGATACTTTTCTGCCTCTTCTCCTAGGGGAGGAATGTCTGACTGACGTCTGTGGAACTAGATGAGACCAGAACTGGCAGAAGACATCTTCAGCTGAATCAACATTTCCCCAAAAAAGATGCCCAACATCAGCTCAAGTTCAGGCAAGAATCCTACACTTCGGTGACAGCCATGCCTTACATGGCCCTGATATTGGGACTAATGCAAGCCAGACACTGCTCCTTTTACTACCATTTACTATAACACAGCAACAGGCTGTCCTAACTTTGCTGCGTTAGGCAAAAATCACAATGGTCTGGACACTCCTGACATAGAAAGTATCCAAAACAGCTCTCCTTCTGCTGTAAGTGCAACAAACAGATGAACATAGAAAGTTTGCACATAGCAAACATCTCTTTCATTATATGGCCATCTGAGAATGCCCCACCCACACTTTCAGACCCCTGACCAACTCCTGAACTAGCCTAGCTTTTCATCAATCACTAGTGACTGTGTGGTGCATCATCAATAGTTATAAAGTCATAACATACCTTTGTTTGTAAAGAATTCCAGTAAACAATCCTTCAAAAAGTCTCCTGAATGTACAAACTGCCAGAAAACTGCCCCACAACCTCACAGACCTCCCAGGCAAGGCTGGCTGTGACTCAGGCATGTGTCTAACCCAGATCTGTACTCCTGCTGTTTAGGTTTTAGGGATCTACCACTTTTGCTTACAGGGGAGTCCCAGAAGACTGTATTTGTAAACTGCCTTTTTTTTCACAACAATGAGTCAAATAGTCATTTCTCTAGAAACTAGTTTATATATTCTCAACTTGACAAAGTTTGAGTGGGTACATTTGTATCAATATGATGATAAAATAAAGACAATTATATTACAGCCACCCCTTTTAAATATCTTTCTTTCAGCAGCAGATAATTTTCTCCACCTGTTTTGGTGGGTGAGGAAACTTGATCTCCCCGCCTCTCATTCTCCCAAAGCTTGTTACTGTCAATTTTCCTTAGGAGGAAGGTGCCATTTTCTGCACCAAGGGGTCACAAAGTTCAAAACAACTGGGGAAGGTCAATCACCCCTAGTACAGTAAGTCTTCTCTGTTATGAAAAGTAGCGCTGTACTGCTTTTTAATAGCTTTCAGTTTGCAGGATAACTTTCAAAACATCTTTCATTTCATAGGTGTAGAATGTATCAATTTCAAGATCATTGGAAAACTCATGATGATGATCATGACTGTGATTCTCCTGAATCGTGAATGATCTTCTAGTATTCAGCCGAACTTGACTTACAATAACATGTAACATGTTACTGTATCTAATTTGATAAATTTGTATCTGATTTGATCATTTACAAAAAAGATCTCTGACAGGAATATACCATCTCTATCTAGAAAAGGAGGAAAAGGGAGCTGTTCAGTACATGCAAATGAATGTTTCTTGAGTATTTACCTGAATACCTCTAACCAAATAAAAAGGGCATGCTTCCTAGAACCGTTATGTCGCATGGGATAGACATTTTTCACAAGTTGGCTTGAACAAGGAGAGAGCACGAATCCCCGCGACATGTCCCACCCTGATGGACAATTTTGCAGCAGTCCACCAGCCAGTTGCCAAATATTGACACACCCACTTCAACTGGGAACATTTCAAACATGGCCCTACAACAAACCTTGGTGTATACTTATGCTTCCTTGTATTTGGAGAGCCATATGAATGAAAGGATATATGCCAAAGGTGTAGCTGGCAACCAATCCATCACCACAGCTAACTGTAACTGTACACTGTAACTGTAACTCATGAAAATTAGCAAACATGTAGCATACTGACGTAACATCAGTGATAATCATAATGCAAACAAGATTTTGAAGCCAAAAAAAAGGACCAAAACATATTTGTTCTGTATCATTCAGTTTGAAAACAATTCTTTATATCTATTATATTGTCCATGAAAAATTTGATAACAAATAATATACTGTCTGCTTCATTAAGATGTTTTGCACATTTCTCAGATTTCAATTCATTTTTATGAATGAGATGATTCTAGTTACCTATAGAAAAGGAATGGAACAGAAATTACAAAGACCTCTCCCCCTAGATAATTGCTCTCCTCTCTATGGCCAGTGGTGCAGTGCACAGAAACATTACCCCTGACATATATGGTTGGCCCCATGACCTTTTGACTTTTCCTGCCTAGCAATTCCAAGTCTACCATGATAGATGGCCCCCATTTACATGTACCTACCTAATCAGTGTAGTGTGGCTTGTGTGAACAGCTCCTGGTTTCTACATACAGGCAGAGTTAGGGAGCTGGGACATTTACCTAACTAGGTGATAGTGCCCTAGATCAACCAATGTCATGTATTATGCATGTACCATTCCCTTTAAAATATTATCAACATTTAGTTGTTGGTCTGGACATCAACATATGAATGTTTGCACGAAATATGCAATTGACCAAAACAGACTAGATATTTCATTGTAATTTTGATTTAAGTGGTGGTAAATCTGAGGATGTTAGCTAAATGCGAACCTTCCTACATGTATGCTGAGAACACATAATTGTTTAATAGCAAATAAAAGGCTACAGCTATGCAGTTTGTGATGATGTCTGCAGTAGTGCATGTACATGTATAGGCTCAAAACAGCAAAATTTCTGAATACCGTCAACATATTCTTCCTGTCTACCTGGAAATACTTGAAAACAATTAACTTACCTTTATGGCGATACATTGTATTTCCCCCTCTTCTGACATGATTTTTTTCTTTACAATATCAAATCATTAGAAATGTGTGCAATATATTGGCTGCATACATGCACTTTCCATTCCAGCAGGCCAACCTCAGTGCTGCAGTGCCATGATGTGATACTGACAGCCATCAACCACCCCTTGCCTCTACAGTACAAGGACAAGGACTAGCCCACCTACCTCTGCCATCTACCTACAACACAAATATGTTACAGTTATGCAAAAAAGGGCAGAGTAGGAGAGGTACATGACTCAAATATGTCAGTCACGTCTTGCGTAGATCTTCATCATCATGATTGTTCTTCTTTAGATCTTCATCTGCACTCATCTATTTTCTCTGTTTTTCTTTTAAAGATCTTCTCACACTAGGCCGAATCACACAAATACCAGACATGTTATTTTGTACAAATCATATTCAGATTATTTTCACAGTGGTACAAAAGGGTTGTTTCCAAATAAACAAAGCTGGGGCAGGAATCTTAAGGCTTTAAACAATTTCCTTGGAATCTGAAGATCTTGGCAAGACATGAAGGTCGCCGCCCCTGAGTCTACTCTGCCCTTGACACGACACACAGGGTGGCTGAGGGCGGCCATGTTGGGGGAACATAGTGATTGCCCAGTGCTACCTGAGATTGGCAGTTGACGGTTGCTCCGTGCTCTACCAGGATCTTGACAATTTCCTTCTGGCCTGCAAGAGAGGCGATGTGCAGGGCTGTGTTTCCTTTCTGTGGGAAGAAGACGAAAAATATGCTGATCAATTTCTCTTCTATTAATGTCATGTACGTGCCATTTATGTTGAAGATGTTACAAGGCAATGTTTCAACTAACAGCTTTTCATTTGTAGGCCAGGAAATATCCAGCTCAAATATCTACTTCAGCCATTCACAGGCCCTACGTATTTTAAACCTTGATATCTGTACCAGACATCACCAGTACATATTCATAAGGTCATTGCCCTCTTGGCTGTCAATGTTGCTTGCTCATCTCCATTCTGACAGTTGCTTGTACTTTTACTTTCAACCCATTTCTTTCCCTGTCCATCAACCAGATCACTCTTGTCATATTGGGTCATCTAAATGCGGAAAGATGCTGCACCACTCTGACAGGAATTACCAGGATTTTATGTGCTTGATGATTCAATTGCTTTCCTGACAAAGAATAAAGCTTCCTGGTGTCTTCATACATCTACATAAATATGGCCATATGGGCAAAATCTGTCATAATAAGAACATTTTTACACTCATCACTTTTCAAAGCTACGGATATTCTATCGTTTGCAGAATGATTGTCCTATATATCAAATGTAGTTGGCTCAATCAATCAAAATGTAGTTGCCTCTAGTATCAAATATGCAAAATGCTTGTGATCTTCATTGATTTTCCTTTCTACTAGTACTGTTACTGTACTTACTTTATAGAATACCTGTCTCTTTGTGAAATGGGTCTAACTGACTTGTACAATCACATCAGGTATCATTTTCTTCGTAGTCTGCAATGACATCATCCAATTCTAACATTGTCTGACACCCACTCTGGTCACGCCCTCATTCCCTGACCTTCTCTCAGATCATTTTTCCTCATCCTCCTGACATTTGAGATGCAATCTTGTCTGGCAACCGTTGCCAACATCCTTACACCCAATCATCTCTTACACAGCACAGCATTTGATTTATTTGGCTAGAGGACATCTTTTCCAAATTTGTGCTTGAAGTCATCAAAATTTCTTGCTTTACGATCAATTCACTTTCAAGTTAAAATAGTGGTTGATGGATAAGATGGTAAGGAGACCAAAGATTTAACTGAGTTGATTTTGATGTACAATTTTGTGTTGTATTTATTTTGTTACTCTGTTCATCTGAAAGTGCCCAGTCACTGAGAGTGCAACTCTAGTAAAAGAACACAGAAATGAAATAATACACATGGACACAAAAGTGTGGAGAAACCTTAGACAATGGCCGGAGAGCCGACTGACCTTAGTTGCTGCATTAACGTCGGCTCCTCGGGCCAGCAGCTCCTGCACAATGTTGACATGGCCCTCCTTGGAGGATAAGTGCAGCGCATTCAGTCCATTCTGCAGGAAAAACAGAGCACAACAAGGCTGGAACAAAATCCTTCAGGGCAATGACAATTTCCGTCTCACTCATTGTAGCACTGAGCAATTTGTATGGAAACTATTTGCCAGAAGTAAGTTTTGGTGTCACTCTCAATAAACAAACTTGTTAGCCTCCATGAAAGATACCTGTTACAACATTGATGTACACTACCCTCACTTGTAGCAACCGTATTAGGAAGTGTAGCTAAGACTGCAAATGTCAGATGAGTATGGAAATGTCAGGTGTAGCAGACTCTATTGCTGACATGATCTGTCCTAATACAAACACCTGCTTAGGTAACAGGAAGCTAAGAAAAACTCTTGGAAAACATTACGGATACCCATTGACAGATGCACAATCACTATCTTCACAGAAAGCAAGCTTAATTCTTCCCTCTAAGCTGTAGCTATTGAATCTTTGTTGATGAGGCCATACCAATTTGATTAACTGGTTTTCAGGGCCTGGCTCACTTTTTCTGATTTAAAACAAAAGTCTTATCGTAGCATTTTGGGATTTTTGCATTGGCCTTTTTTCGCCCAGTGACTTCATATTTTTTTCTTACAAAATCCAAGAAGCAACATATTAAACTGTTATGGCCTGAAAGACTGCAGAGATGGATACTTACTGCGTTACTTGTGTTAATGTCTGTGCTACCCTTCAAGTATTCCAACACCTTGTCCAAGTTCCCTGCTCGTGCTGCACGCAGGAAACTCGCATTCCCATCACTCTGTAAAACAGGAGGAAATACAGACATGAGTTACCATGGCAACATGTATCAAATACCATGTACTTTCACCTTCAAACTCAGCATCTCATTACCTTCTCTTGGGAACATACAACATAACAAGGATCCATAAAACCTAATCAGAGACCTATACAAAATTTATTTAGTTTTGAAATATTTTTTAAAAGTCAATTTAAATGATTTTTTCACAGAAATATTTCTGCCATTTACGGGAAAGCTTGCCTTTTCCTCATGGGTTATTAGATACCCAAGTAAGTAGAAAGGCATAAGAGGGTCTCTGCTGTCAGCCCAGAACTTCGAGTGTACTGGTGCATGCAGGTAATGTGCCCTTAATTTGTCTGGACCCTTCAGGAGGTCAGGTAAGGATAACCAAACCAAATCTTATTGATCACATCATTAGATTGAAGATCCCATTTTTAGACATCCAAGTCACTCAAGGTGAGGGTATCATCAGTGACATGATCTTAATTTCATTAGCATGAGGATGAGAATCCTGATACTGCATCTTTTGCATCCAATTTTAACCCATCTGTCCATTCAATCATTCATTCATTCATTCATTCATTCCAGATAATTCATTCATTCATTCAGTCTGTCACCTATACAATGTGTTTCTAGCTATCCCTATTTTTATTTACTCAATCTTTCCTTCAATCAATTCATCCAGTTATGCATTGTCCATCCATCCATCCATCCATCCATCCATCCATCCATCCATCCATCCATCCATCCATCCATCCATCCATCCATCCATCCATCCAAATCAGACTTTCAGTCTACATATTAGAGTTGTTATCACCAGACTGCACATTGTCCACACTTCATTCATTGCTAAAGAACCAAATCTAGCAAGACAAATACTACCCAGGCACCTTCACGCAGACAAGGATGCATCAGTGTGTAAGGAAATAGATGGAGCCCAGCATGTTGCAGGGATTGGACATAATCCATTTGCCAGGCTCTGTTTTACACATGGAAAACTCATTGTGGTAATGGACTTGGCAGGGGGATGCAATGGTGAACATGAAAAGTTCCAATTTAAAAATTACATGAACTATGAAACTTAACTTGTAGTCCATTAAAATAATAAAAGTTGTTATCTTTCTTGGACTGAGGTACAAACATACATTGTATATGATAAATATATGTAGTTGAGCCAAGATACGACTAGCAGTTCTAATAAATTGATGTTTTTGACATTGACTTTGCTATAGTAGTGCAACTGTCAACCACACCCACACTGACACTGTACATGTCTGGGCATGACCTTAATTTTGGTATATGGGCATTATATAATATCAGATATGTTATCGGTGCACACCCCAGTTCTTCCGCGACAGGGGTCCACGATAGTCCGTTGTAAAAAAGTGACGAAAGGGTTTTGAGGGTCCAAGTTTGAGGTGACATTTCTTATAAACTGCCACGAAGTATCATTAAACATTAACATGGCTGAAGAGTGTAAGAAATGGTGATTTTGGGGTGAAAATTTCTTTTGGCTCCGAACCTTACTTCCGGGTATCCTTGCGCGCCAAGTGTAATCCGCCCGTTTGACCTAGTTTTCGCTCTGCGGCTTCGTAGGGGTGGATTTGCAACCCCTCGCGCCGTGGACTGTTTAGA